TGTATTATAACGCGTCTGTTAAGGTCTAATTTGTTTAAATTCCCATTCAACAATTTTCTATATTTCTCTCATACTCCTCTAGTTTTGATAACGCAATAATTTCTCGAAATAAATGCCATCTCGTCGAATAAGCCTAAGCGAAACAATGAATAGAGACGGGCCGCATATTTCACGGAAATTGACAACGGCATACGTCTTTTCGACGCGATCGACAGGATGATCATTTTTTTTTCTTCTTTTCTCTTTTTATGCGAGCATTTACAGGTTGACGAAGTGTCAGAGGAGACCTCGGATGGGAAGTCAATTACGAAGATCGAGGCCGCATTGTGGTAGCATCGAGGCAGCTTCTCTTGGCGTGCCAGCGATCGAAATTGCACAGGCGGTCGACCGGAAAATAGGGCCGCGCCCTCCAATGCGCGGTCTCCTGCCTCCCGAATAATTTATCTCAAAACGCATCACGCCGCATCGTCTTTGTGGCATTGTCGAGAAGCGAGGGACAGAGAGAGAAGCATTCGAAAAAGCAGACGGACGGAGGTGGATAGTATATCATGCACCACGCGAGAACTTGGTGTGCCGAGAGGATCGATTGTCGGAAAGCGACCTGACCGCAAAGCTATTGACAGCAGAATTAATCTCAGCTCCGTATTGCGGATTGCGTGATTGATAAACGTTGAAAATAGGCAGCAAACGACAGATAATCGACGAAAATATCGCGAGATGAAATCTTTGTATCACTTCACAACTCTATTAAATTCCTTAATCGAATCGAATATCACAGAAGACTCGACATTAAAATGAATATTAACAAGAAATGTGTTTCAGAAATGCACTTGTGCATGACGCAAAAAAATATGTAAAATATATGTAATATGTGCAATGAGACAGAACATGGTGCATAGTCCAATATATATAAATATACAATTTTATTAAGAAAACATTCCAAACAAAAAATTATATAGCTTAAAGGAAGATGTACGTACAACAGTGACATTCCTCTTTACACTATATAACTTTAATTTGAAATATTTTTTGTAAAATTGTATATTTTCAAAATATTTGCCTATTGAGATTAAAATAAATCATTCTACATATGTATATGATATATTTAAATATAAATGTGATAAATAAATGTTATATATGTTCAAATATTAATTAACTTTCATCACGAAAATAATTTCTTTCTGCTATTTCAAATAAGACTATAAACTGATCGCACATATATTTGATATCAAAGTCTCCAAAGATTTATCATTCACCTGGCGAACATTAGGAAATTAAGAGAGCAAATATTCGGTACACATACGACAAAGTATGAGTTTATATGTGTGGTATCAAAAAGCCAACCAAAGTCAAGTATAATGGCATATTGGATTTATTGCTTTTATAGTTTCTGTGCCGGATATCAAGTATTTGCTCGAATCCATTATACGAATGTTGAATCTTCAAATGCCTTTATGTTCAGTCATCTAAAAGCTCTTCTTCAAATCATTTTTTTCCTTCAAAACACAAATATCTATTGATATTTTCTATGTTAAATAAACAAAGTAAAAATGGAAATGGCCAGTCTGTTATAAAGTATCTTCGTAAATAAAGATTCGCAATACTAGCTCGATGGAGGTTATTGCCTTTATGGTATCAGGCTTATTCACGGTATATATACGTTTTACTACTGACACGGAAAGGGCGGGCAGGCACCAGATGCGACAAAGCATTTTTTCAACCCTTTCACTTTCAGGGCGTTGTGCAAACTTTTAATAGAATTTAAAGCATACAAGTGGAATCAAGTTTTTAATTTCAAAGCCGAGATAAAGTTTTTAGAAACCGGACAATATAGAAGCCCTTAACTTGAGTACTTTATCGAGAAGCAATAAATTATCATGAATTTAAAAATATAAAAGATGTTACGCTCTAAACGTGGAAAATTCTGTAACATCTGCAGTGTCAAGAAATTAATAAACACTGAAAATCTCAGAGAATTTTATCAAAATTCTTTATTCGTAATTGACGAAGAGTGTAGTTGAGTGAATTATATTCCACTTTACGTCAATGAATGTACAAAGTAAATCATACAGAAGAAATGTATTAAATAAGATACAGAAAGAATAGAAATCAAATCTACGAAAATACTTCGATTCGATTAAAGTAATCTTCTCAATTTTTTTACGAGAGAAATAAAAAAAATTAGTATCCTTTCGTTAATGCAAAATTGTCTCTTCAGGTATAAAGAGAAAATTCAAAGATTTAAGTACACACAAGTATATATTTTCTCATCAAATCTCAGTATAAACAGTCTTTTCCGTTATTTCTTATCTCATTTTATTTGCTTTTACATTCGACATCAATGAAATGACACTCTGTCCGATTATTCAGATTCTGTGAGCCAATTCGCCTTGCTCTTTTAGCACAGTAAGTGCGACAGATAATCTCGTTAGTTTCTAGGTACATCCGAAGATTTTCGTAGGCACGATATATCGTCTTTACGCACGCTCGCGTGCGAATGGTCGTGGGGAGAAATGTTGCACCACAGAAGCGCGCATGGGTGGGCTATCTATAGCGGCGAGTGTAACCAAACGGAGACTCGGATGTCACTCAAGGATGACAAAACTCATTAATACCGATCTGCTTAATGCCCCGTCTCGTGTCCAACATTAATCTGCTTAAAAATACCTGCCGAGGTACGTTCAAGTGACCCGCCATTTTAAATCATCCATGTCGGTTTACTTTGTAAGATGCGCGTCGGTATGTACATCTCTGCTCCCGAAGATTACGCGACACGTACGATTCTAACGATAATATTCGCACAGGCTGTTGCCTTCGCTCTGGAAATGCTCCCTGAGTAACTACGATGAGGCGGCAGTTTGAAAAGGAAATGGAAACGACGGAAATTTCGGTCGTAACTAAGTCTTATCGCTTCTGTTTGCGCACCGTTAAACTATTTTAGATGAATTCACGCGACCAATTGTGACGATATGAAATATTATTTTTGTATCTGATCTGTAATCGCCGATAATATCTTCGATATCACTGTATTGTAGAGATATTTATGATCCATATGGCTCTATTACTTGAAAAGTGACGAGACTAAAAAAATTGAGTTTCCTAGGAAAGGGAAAAATTGTTTTTTCTGAAAATTATTGATCAATCAAATATAATCGATAAAAAAAAATTCTTAACATGTGTGATCAAATGTCATTTTTGTCATTCACAACTCTTAAAAAGTTATCCTTTTTTGTAACAATTTTTTAAAATCATTTTCTTTGAGTTATAATATTTTAATGATTTTTTTTTATTAGTTCACCTTTGATAACTGACAGTAATGTTTATCTAACTCACTCACGACAATAACTCAAAAACACGTTTTATGTAAGTTGTGTCTTAAAAAAAGCGATATATATAAAGTTTGATAATATTATTCTGAATAAATATTATTATTACTTTCAAGTTTAGATATTTATCATCACAATTTAAATAGGCTTGAAAAATCTGCAATACAATATGCAATTTACCATAAAGTATTGATTTCTCGAATTTAATTTACATAATACTTCTCAATTCTTAAAAACAAATTTAATTTAATTTACATATCATTACAAATGCAATTTAAAAGTTATATAATTAATCAATTAATTAAAATAGAAGAAATATCAAAAATTATAAATAAGCGATAAATAGTGTTTCCATTAAAGTTTTATTCAGTGAAAAGTAATTCTGATCTTGTTATAGAATCTGTTTTGAAAAAAGAACACAGTATATGATTGCCTAAAGCATCATTTGGTACATGTACCAAAAAGTTACACGTGTGTCCATATATTTTTACGGAAATATGATCTATTTTTATTCGATGTGCATGTGAGACAACGAACGCAAATTTGATCTTATGGGTTCTTCAATCATGAGGCTGCATAACGACTTGTGTACTAATGCTGCCTTATGCGATGCAGATGTTGATGATTTTTTGCGTGACAGAACGAGTCATGAGCGAGAATTTGCGAGACTACGGACACACGGTGCACTAATCATTTCGCTGTTTCTTCTGCAAAGGAATACGTGCCGCAGAAAAGATACCATACGATTTTTCTCTAACAATCTTTCTGTGCCATGTGTGCTCCATAATAATAGAGTGAATAAAGACGTAATCTAATATATGAGACATAATTTAAGGATCAAATAATTGGTAAAGACGGATGCAAATTAAGTCCTTTTTTAGTTTATAACAGTTTTTCTAATTTAATAAATAATAATGGTAATGAATTTTTCCTTTTAACTGCAGTATTAATTACCAGAACTTCCAGTAACAAAATGTAACATTGACAAAACATACACAAAAATAAGAAAAATTTTAAAATATTTTTCTATTACATCATTCTCTACTGTTGTTTTATGTATAATGAACAATAAAAATAGAACAACATAAAAACGCTGATAGCGCATTCTCTGAACGCAGTCAAAACACACAAATAAAAAGATAAAAATAAATTTAAAATGTCTACTTTTTTTCTATTACATAAACTTCATATAACCCAGATTAATATTTAATCGCAATATTTAAATGTAATATTCAATTTTTTTTATTAATATCATATTTGTTACAGTATCCAAGTTTAAACTGATTATCATAAATATTCTCGCCACTGTCACAGTATTATTAAAGGAACAAAATTATCATTGCAATAATCAGTACCATTTCTTTGTTATGTAATTCACGTGTGGACATACAATTCTAGTTACGGTTACTGGAAGAAATATTAGAGAATAAGGAAGATCGGCGTTAAAGGCCGCAATAAAGAGTTTTGCATAACGCACAATGCATAGCGTCTCAACTAATCAAAATCCTTTTTTTTCTATAAAATAAAAGCAAAAGAAGTATTCTGATTGATTAATTCGCTTATATACATTATGCGTTATGCAAAAATCTGTGTTGCGGCCTTAAGTATCTTCCCCCGAGAACCTAAATTTGTAAGCAACCATACGCAGGGTGGAATGCGAGTAATACCACTCACCGTTAATTGGTTGAAACCTTGCCAAAGGATCCGAGAATTGCCGAAGTCTGTCCGTCACGTACTGCGGCGACTCTCCATTCTGTAAATAAGAGAACGAATGTAGAGCCACACAACACACACACACACACACGCACACACTCTCTCTCTCTCTCTCTCTCTCTCTCTCTCTCTCTCTCCCACTTATTCTCTTTTTCGATATAACTGTTTCCGTGCGCGCAACGTTTCATCTCGCGACGCAAATGAAACAGGGCATGTCACAAGCCCTGTCATTCACAATGGAGGCAAGCGTGCTGAGAAATAATGGAGTCTCAATAGGAGAGATTAAGAAGATGACAGATTCGAATTAAATCGAATTAATTCTATATCGCGTGAACGCCTCTCGATAAGAAATCATCAATCGCGCTTGATCCTGTAAATAATAATAAGTCTTGTTTTAATTGTTCTTTCTACATTTTTATTTGTTTCCTTTGTCTCTCCTTTTTCAAAGCTCAAGCAGTATTTATCTTGTTCCATTATAATTTCATAAAATTATTAAATGTTCAGGATATTGAAAATGATAATGGAATAGATTAGTGTTTACGTATTGTAAAATAAAATTATATATAACTCATGTAATTTATATCATACTCTAACAAAAAATAAAATCGTTTATATAAAGACTTAACTTATTGTAGATAAAGCAAAAATATTTTTTTTTTATTTTTATTATATTAATAATATCTATTTGTTCTATTAATTTTAGAATAATTTTAGAATAATTTGTATTAATTTTGAGAGAGATTTCATTCTATTTTATATACACAAAAAATTAAAAAAATCTTTCCTTTGTCAGATTTATAGTAATAAAATTATAGTAATAAAATAGAGTAATAAAATTTTCGAGTAATAAAATTCTTTTTGCCTCGTTTTTCATAATGATTTCACTGTTTAACGCGATCCGAAAGCGTTTGTGAAGCAATTAAAAGAAAACGCGTTTACTGTACAAGCAAAGAATTCTTTGCAAAGTGATATAAAGCAAAGTATGTCGATGATACAATAACGTTAGTTCTATTTTAATTTGTGTAAAATCATAACATTCTTAATTTAATTAACAATGTTATGATTTTACACAATGATTTAACAATGTTAATTTATAACAATGTTAATTATAACCCATAAAAACATAACTTAATTATATTAGTCGTTAATAATAGATACAAATTATTAATTAATTCATTATTCATCTATGAAAGATTGTTCAATTGCTCTTTCCGCTATAATTTTGTTTTGTTTTTATCTTATTTTATTTTTTCTGAAAACATTTTTGCAATAGAAACAGAAACGGTCTAAAAAAAACGATCGTAATATTTAGATTTGAAACTGGCATAAGAAAGGAAATATATATATCTATATATATATCTTATCATTTCTTCGCTAAAGAGAATCGAATCGAAAACTTACTGTAACACACTTCAAAGCCAACGATTAATATTTTTAATAAAAAATGAAAATATGTATAGTGTGCGTGTATATATATATATATATATATATATACACACACACATATATTTTCACTTTTCATTAAAAATATTAATCGACAAATAATGTGTTCGATATATAGAACAATTGAAACGAACGAATAAAACTGAAAAACATAAAGTTCAAGAATAAAGTATATCATATGTATGTATATATTTTGAAGAAGATAAATTCAATAAGCATCTTTGTAATTTTGTTCCAAACTATTGAAACTCTTCAAGTGAGACGTGATATCTCTTAATCATTCAAAACTTTGTAGAATTAATCCGCTAAGTTATAGCAAATACAAATTTCGGTTGTATTCGAGTGAACCATTAACCTGGCTGTACTTCAGTTTATCCTATGATCGAGGATCATCCTGCAAATATTCGCGAGCGAAGCGTGACGACGATAGGCGGGAAGCGGCAATGGGTGGAATCGCTGGAATTATCGTTACCCAATTTGCTTCTCCAACACCACGTAGTATGTACTCGAAGTTCGCGAAATTGGGTCACCGCTGGTGCACCAACGGGCAGAAAGCGCATCGACGAATGTGCAAATTGAAAATCGAACGATGTGCACTGCACATTTGTTCATCGTTGTTTGAGCCGATAGTGCGAAATACGTATAAAACAATATTATTTTTGTCAGGTTTGATTATTTACGTGCAATTTTGAATACGAATTCTACGTAATGACTAGAAAGATATATTTGTCATTACCATATTTTGTTAAATAAAAACAGATTTTAAACACTGCATATTGTAGAAAAAATAATCCATTTGAAAATGTAATTATGCTTTAAAATTTTAACTATAATATTATATGAATCAATAAGATACACAATTCATTTTTATTTAAGTAAATTTATTTTATATAAGTAAAGAGTATGCTCATATATAGTTTATTTACAAAAGTTAATTGTGTATCTGTTTGATATATATATATATATATATATATATAGGGTAACTCCGGTATATACGCTGCACTTATTTATTAAATATTATTTACTATATTTAAAGTAAACGAATTATATCAGTAAAAACTTTGTACTGTCTACTATTATG